TTTAATATTTAGTAAAAAATGAAAAAGAAAAAGGAAAACCAAAAAAAAGACTTACAAGAAAAACTAAGCATATTTTGCTTTTCCCAATTGAAGTAAATGGTCAACACTGAAATAGCCTGATACCAGGGGCTTCAGTACATACTTCACACTATATATTATAGTCTGATGCTGCAAGGGAGTGCTGGTATATCGACTAAAGGTTTGGCATGGAACACTAATCTATTCTTTTATTATTCTTCATTTTTTCTTTTTCTGAAAACACTGTACAATTTAATGTAACAAAAATATGGTAACAATTTGTTACATAAATATGCTATAGTATATATATATATATATATATATATATATATATATATATATATATATATATATATATATATATATATATACATATATATATATATATATATATATATATATATATATATATATATATATATATATATATATATATATATATATATATATATATATATATATATATATATTAAAAAATTATATTTAGGTTTCAAGCATGAATTTTGCAGGTTATCAAGTTGCTTATTCATTATGGGGTAAGTTTTAAATTCATTTTTAACACTTAAAAAAATACTGATTTTGTTAATTATTGTTATTTTTAATTATTTAGGTTTTTCAATTTTATTTATGGCGCTTTTTGTTATTCTAATGTTTATTAGTCATCAAATAATCCTCCCAATTATAAACAAGGAAAACTCATTTCTTCTTAGGCTGATTATCTCTTATTGGTATTCAAAATTTTAATTTTTTTATTGTTTACTATTTTGTGTGATTTTAACAGTTTTTTTTATATTTGTAGGAAAAATGTATTTATTAAATTAATTTATATACTAATATGAAATATATTAGTGAGTATATATTAGTGAAATATATTAGTGAAATATATTAGTGAGTAAATTTTACACTTATTTTTTGAGAAAATTTATTTATATTGAAATAGTTTGCAAATTTTTTGACAAAAATTTTTGTGTAATATAAATGTATGCAAATAATAATATTTTTTCAGGCCTACAATTTTAATCGGATGTGTTCTTATAATTCTTCAAAGATTACTTGCTAGATTCATTTTATTAATTGAAAAAGATGTGTTGGCTGTTGACAATAGGTACTTATTGTATAATAACTTTTTTTTTTATGCTATTTCTAATCTGTATGTTATTTCTAATGTATATGCTATATAACTATTTGAATAATTATGTCAATTAAATTAAAAAGTTAATGAAACAAAATCAATTGAAACATCAAATTTAATATAAATATAAGTATTTTAGCTCCAGAATATTCAACTGATCTCCAACATATCCATTTTATCTCCAGCATGTCAACATCTTATTTCAATCTTAGTAATTTTTTCTAATTATTTTGTAATTATTGAGGCAAAATTTTTAAGTTTTATTTTTCGTGTGTAAAATTTTAAGTTAGTTTTTCAAGTAGCTTTTTAAATTTTCTTAATTGTAATTGGTACATTTTCCATCTCGTATTTAAAGTTTCAAAATATTATACTGGTTAAAAATGTCTTAGGCCTAACCACTACTTAAAAATATTTTTCAAAGAAAAACATCACTTATTTTAAAAAAATATGTGTGGTTTTACTTTGGTGCAACCTTCAAAAGATGTCAAAATTTCATAACAACTACTTCTTTAGTTTAAAAGTAAGTTGATTAAGTGAGATTTTTGTTGTTGTTTTAAAAATAATAAATTCACAGCTATTTCCTGTGTCGATTTCCAAATGTTTATTAAGGGGAAAAAACACTGTTCAAGATGAGCAAGGGCTTCAAAGTGTTACACAAATTCTACTCCATTGACAATAACCATCAAGTTATTTTTCTATGGTTTTTTGATTTTAAAGACAGTTGTATAGAGATAATGTTAAATATTCAGTATGTCCAAATGAGGCTGTTAACTCTGAAAACATAAAAATGACACACAAAATCATCATGGGCAATTGCAAAGTTATGTTGCAAAAAAATTGCAGACACCTTGAAGTTTTAATTATACATATATACTTTGAGTATGAAATAGCTGTTTTTCAAATAGGAGTATTGATTTAATTATGTTTGCTCACAACAGAACAAAAGCAACAACCAATTGATATATCAGAAATTGATATATCAGTTTGGACATTTTCAAGCCTGTAGTTAACTGGCTTGCACTTACTTGTTTTCTATTTTTTTCCTTTATTAAATTAAGGTTGACTTTTATCTCCCTCGATTGTACAGTAGGATGAAGTAGGAATGATCAAAATACTCAAAAATCATCGTCAACATTACATTGTTTTTTTGTTCAAACAAATTTCTTGCTTTTCCATACATGTTATAATATATCAAAGAACAAAATCCTTAAACTTTATGCATCAGTAACAGTTTTTGATATTTTTTTTTTGCTGTTAACCTTAACATTATGCAACAGATAAATCATCCTTCAATCATCTCCGAACATTTGATTATCTATCTACCTTTATTATTATCTACTTTATTATTATTGATTATCTACTTTTCAATGTATGTATTTAACAATACATGCATTAAAATATTTTGCCACATTTTATCAAAATTTTTTGTCTTTTCTAACAAAAAATTGGTTTTCACTTAACAGTCAGTTGATAAAAAATAATGTATCATGGTTATAATGGATCCTGATAATGATAACCTAGCTGACACAATAATGCTACTTATATGTGATATTGGGTTACTATTTTTAAAATAATGGTTACATGAGTGTTCTACTATGTAATATCAACAATTTTTTCTAACAATTATTTTCTTGGCACATGCACCATTTTTATTTTATAGACCAAAATATTGATTTGCTAATTAAAGCATGATTTGAATTGGCTTATGCATAGCAAAAAAAACCTCAGCAATTTCTGTCAACATGCATAAAAATGCTAAAAGATTTTCTAGGAATACCTACATAAAAAATAAAATTTTTTATTCCTCTTAAAACAGAAAAACTGAGAAAACAAATATTTTTGGTTGACTTGAAGATTGACTTAAAAAATTGACTAGTATTAGGCTGAGTTTGATTTATTTAATTACCACAATGCTAAATCAAGCAAAGATCGACAAAGATGGCAAAAATCAAAAGTTTATGTGCTTTCTCTGTCTGAAAAAATGTTTAAGATAGCTTACTAATTTTGTAACAGATCAAATATACCAACTGCATAAGATCAATATCAGTGATTCTTGGGTATTACGGGGATTTTGCAAATTGTGCAGAAATACTTTGCACAGAAAACAAGAAAGGAAGAAAGTAGGCTCCCCTTTTTGTTTGGTTTCAAGTCAATACAAGTGAGACCTGAAACATGAGGCACAATATGTTATTGTTGAATTAATTATTCAAAGCTGCATAAAAAGTATCTTCTTAAAGAGCAAACCGCAATTGAGAAATAACAAAGTGTGCATTGCAGCACATGCCTCAGTCTTTTAGGAAAATGTTTACCCCGCTAATGCTTTCAAAAAAAGTTCAGAAAAAATACTTAATCTTCAGAAGCAAAAGATGCCAAAGCAGCCAAACAAATTGCATTATAAGTTCCAATAAATAAATATCTCCAAAAGGAACTATTCAACAAGCATCCGGCAGGCCTCCATTTATAATTACCCTTGGTAAATATTTGTACTTAAATAATTTTTACATATATATTGAAAGTTTTGACAATTAAAAAATGAGATTTAAAGAATTATATTTTTGTTTATTTTTTCTAATCTTTTTAAAAACAAATAATATAAAAGTTTTACACAAACTTTCTAAACAAAATGCTATATAAACATAACAGCCACCATCAAGCGCTTCAATATTGACCACACTAACCCTTCTAAATGTACAATTAAAAACGGGACTGTCAAGCAACAGAATAAAGAAATTGGTCAGAGCTGTAAACCAAACATCAAGCAGCAAGGTGGTAGAGCCAAATTTTTATATTTATTTTCTAAGAGCAGGCCTCAATACTTCACTGTAGTGACTTGAAAATCACAGACGGAAGGAAAAGGAAATTCTGGTACAGTTTGGGTTGTTACTCACTGTAATGATTTATCAAATCTTATGAATCAGGTTATTCAATCTCACAAAATATCAGGTGGCTATTCTATTAATCTGATGATGGCAAAGGTTTTCTCAAGTTTTGTCACATGGTTTAACATCAAATTCAAGTGTCTTATCAAATCTGAAAACTTGTGAATACTGGGCTCAACCAAATCTAGCCTCAAGTTTTTTTAGCAATCTGACGGGGTTGTTGCTTGTTCTGATTTTTGGAAATCATCCCTTCTGTGAAGCTGTAAAATTTAGTTATTTACGAACAGTAACAATGTTTTTGTATATACATGGCAATTGTATATAATAAATACAAAAGATGGCTTACATATTAAAGATGTTATATATTGTTATTTTTCTATTAGTTGTGTTTTATTAATGTTATAACACTACAATTAAGGATGACACAATTTTATTAACAATGACACTGCAAATCAGATCTGATTTTAGATAATCCAGACAATGCAGAAGCATAAGTTAGATGTTTTTCAGCTACTGAACAATCAAAGAAATTAAAAGATGAAATAAGCTGTAGAAATGGTATAACATATTTATTTCTGGCAAAAGCAGACATTGAAGCAGTAAAAGGATTTCCCTTATGGTATATCAAGCAAAATTAGAAAATATGATGTTCGATGATATTAAAACTGTTATGTTGTATTTGAGACCTCAAAAACGACTAATTATTGCTGAAAAATTTTTTTTTAAGAAATAAAACAACAGAGCAATGAAAACGTTGTATCATATGCACAAAGATTAGGCATAGCTTCAGGCATCTTCGAAAAATTAGGAAAAGATGCCTAAAGTGCAGAAGATGATTTAATTCAAATAAAATTGATGAGCTCTAATCTTCTGATGAGAGAAATAAAGCTCTAGAAATGTTACAGACTGGAGAGTCGTCTAAATTAGGATCATGTATTGTGATGTATTATGTTTCTGTGCAAAAAATCATGGTTTAATTGGCATGGATTATTATTAATATTAATGCAACAACCTTAGTTAATAGTATGGAACTTATTATTCATGGCCGTTTAATTAACTACAAAGCAAATTAATTTGCATAAAAATGGCATAAAACTAACTCATTTTGAATCTTGACCTCTTCCTATTCACATAAGACCACTAGTGATATATAAACTTAATGAAATGGTGCAGTAAGAGTTGTTTCTAATGTTTCTTCCTGGTGTTAACAAACCGACATGTAATTCAGTCAGTATATGAAAGTCAATCAGTCAGTATTATCAAGACAGTTTATCGAAGTGAGTTTTATCAAAGTGTTTTATCAAACATCAATACAAGAAGTGAAATACAACAAGTGTTTCATTACATCAATACAGTCCACATCCAACTAAAACATTGTGTTCCACAGAGCATAATAATTTATCTTCACAAGGTAAATGTAACATGGTAAGCCTTAAGATGCGTGATTTTTTATTTTTATTATTTTTATGACTTCAAGTGCAAAAATGGCTCCGGACAGTCTTGGATTGGAACTAAGAAAGATAATTATTGGCGATTACGTAAGTGGAATGTCACAAAAAAGTATTTGTGATAAATATCGCGTGGAAAAATGGACTGTATCAAGACTATGTTCCAAATATCGTTCTACAGGGAAGTTGGCAGCAGATAACAAAAGTGAAAGACCGCGTTCCACCACTTCTAGAGAGGATTCTATGATTGTCAGATCCATCAAGAAAGATCCCTGGATATCATCAGTCGAGATACAAAACCAATTAAAGCTGTCTGTATTGGACCGAACAATCAGACAATGTGCTGTTGATGCCGGATTGTTTTCTCGATGCCCTGCAAACAAACCGCTAATTTCACTAAAGAATCATAACAAAAGACTCTTTTTTGCTACATCTCATATTGACTGGAATGTGCAGAAATGGCCAACTGTCCTGTTCAGTGATGAATCGAAGTTCAACATCATTGGGAGCAATGGCGTTTGCCGTGTACGTTGACCAGCCTGAAAACGCCTCAATTTACATTACTGCCATAAGACCATGAAGCATGGTGGAGGCAATGTAATGGTCTGGGAATGTTTTTCTGCTAACGGTCTAGGTCCAATACATCGAATCGATGGAATAATGGACTGTTTCATGTATAAAAATATCCTGAAAGATGTTATGTTACCTCATGCTGAATGGAATATGCCAATAAAATGGGTTTTTCAGCAAGACAACAATCCGAAACAGACTGCAAAAGTAGTCAAGCAGTGGTTTCAAGCAACTACCTATTGGTGATGGATTGGCTGCCTCCGGATCTCAACCCTAATGAGAACCTGTGGGAGATCGTCAACCACAGAATTAACTGTGAAGATGTTCGTAATAAGGATCTGTTTGAACAAATCCAAAAGGCCTGGGCAGCGATTCCACAAAGTTTGATTGATCACCTGATCGAATTTATACCTCGAAGATGCAAGGCTGTGATCAACAACAAAGGATTCGCCACGAAATATTGATAGCAAAACACAGCTTGGTCAACATTTTGTGGAGTTGCACTTGTTTTGTCCAGTAGGAAATCAACTTTTTTTAATACTTATGATTAATTTATTAATTTTCGTGTACAAATAATAAACTTTGTGATTAATAAAACTTGAAGAACGTTGTCTCTAAACAGTTACATAGTTATTTCTCTAAATTGAAAAAATGCAGCACTTTTATATAAAGTAACTAAATTAGTATTTTTTTGTTGCACTTGTTTTGACCGATACTGTAAATACACACACACCCACATACACACATATATATATACCCATATATATATATATATATATATATATATATATATATATATATATATACACATACACACACATACCAATACATATATATATATATATATATATATATATATATATATATATATATATATATATATATATATATATATATATATATATATATATATATATATATATATATATATATATATATATATATATATATATATATATATGTATTGGTATGTGTATATACACACACATTCATACACAAACACACACATATATATATATATATATATATATATATATATATATATATATATATATATATATATATATATATATATATATATATATATATATATATATACTTACATACACATATACACATATAAATATATACAAATACTCATACAGACATACACATCCATGCATACATATACACATACATACATATACACTCACCACTTATTCACATGTGTGTATCACAAACACTTAAACACAAATACATATCTTGGGATTTATTAACTGTATTTGATTAGGAAAGAATGGAATAGGTTACTCTTAAAAAAATAGATTGAATTGATAGCTTTTAGGTCATAGGAAAGGTTATTCCAAGATTTTATACTTTGGTTTTTATGGACTTATATCCATAAGTATCAGAACGAAGACTGCAAGATTCAGATTATCTGTTAATCGAAGATAGTAACGTTTATTTGCATTTTTTGGGAAGAAGTTGTTGAAGGTAAGAGGTAGGTTTTTGTGTTGGTGATTCCAGACAAACTGGCAATTCAAGAATTGAACAAGATCACATAGTTTAAGGATCTTAGAAGTAAGATAAAGCACATTAGGATTGAATTTGTAACTCTGAAAATGTATTATTTTTAAAGCTTTGTTTTTAAGATGTGATATCCTTAAAACTGCTTGCTGTTGAGATTGTCCCCATATTTGACAAACATATCGTATATGTGAGCCAAAAATGGCATGATATATATTTAATAGTGTTTCCAGATTGACATAATGGCGAACTTTTGCCAGCATTTCATTTGATCTGCTCAATTTGAGGAGGCTACTTATGAATATAACCCTCTCTTAACTCTAACTCCGAAACATGAACCTTAACGAACAAGGCCGCTGCGCGGAGAAACAAGTTGAGCGCGGTACTACCATGTACGTTGTGGGAATCGAACACGAAATCTCTACCACTACACCACTACCGCTATTTAAAGAATTGGCTTTATTCCGTACCAACCTAGAATATTCATCTCGTTTATCATATAGAACCTATTAGTGTAAAGTAAGCACATTTCTTAGTAGCAGACCCTTAAGGTTCAGCTTGGATTAAGTGACTCAATTTGTCTGATTTTGTCGGTGATAATCAAGTTTATTTAATCAAGACTTGTTGATGAGTGACACTACTGATTTGTCGGTGATAATCAAGTTTATAATAGAGTTAGGAAATGAAATGTTGTATAAAATATTTTTTTTTTATGTTTTGCTCTAGGGTAAAGCCATCTATTGAAGAATATATGGCTACTACTAAATCCCGGCCACTTTTTCAAAGAGATTTATTGCCTTAAATATTTTGTTTTCGGCACGGGGTCAGGTAGGGTCAACCTCAGTCTGTTACATAAAATCAATTTTTGTATTTTTTTTAAATTAATAATATGAGGTTAATGTGTTTTAGTTAGTGTACAAATTTTATGCATTTTAGGAGAATCTTTCACGGGACTGCATTCTTTTTGCTTTATTTCAACATCTTTGTTGGGGTATTTTTATCAGCCTTACGTATTATATATAGTCTTACTTTGGGAGTTTTGTTTTATCAGAGAATGCAAAAAAGCTCACTACCGAGATCGTTTGAAAACTGGGATAATGGTAATGATTGGTGCATTTAATTATTTTAGATTTTTTAATTTAAGTTGATTCGTTATTGAAAAAAGCAGTAATAATTTCAGGTTACATGTCATACATTGGTTATATACTTCTTGAGCATTATCATACCAACCCGGTGTTACAATGTTTTGTGCGACTTTTATTAGAGAATAAAGAAAGAAAGTTTTTAACAGATGATTCCGATTTATATAGTAAAATGTTTAATCTTTTGAATTTTTTTTTATGTTTACCGTTTTAATATTTTTAAAATTCAGTCGACGAAATCAAAAATCTTAAACCTATTTCTGTCTATTTAAATTTATTTCACTAGGTAAGTTGTCAAACGAGTTGTAATTTTATTTGTAAGACTTTTATAATTATATTTAGGTGTTTTATTTTTAGGCTCATTTTATTCATTGAATGAAGCTCTTCCAAAAATGAAAAATTTTAAAAAAACTCGCGCCCTCAATAGATGGCATCTTTACGTCCTACTTTTGCAGAATCCTTCGCTTCAGAAATTTCGATCTCATAGAATTGTTTCAAAAAACGATTCAACAAAGGAGAAAAAACCACATATTCTTTTTCGCACTATTACGAATCTATGTTCAGGAAGTAAACATGTTTTTAATGATTCTGAATATTTTGGTGAAAACAATGAGTATGCAAATTCAACGCTGAGAAAATTATCGAATTGGTCTACAGTTCCACTGGACAATTCTAATGCAAATGGACAATTCTAATGCAGTTCTAATTCTAAGTATATTGATGCACTTGACAAACATTATTTGTAATAAAATTTTTTTATTTTACACACGAAAGCAAACTACACTTTGTCTAAAACTTTTATTTCAATTTGTTTGGATTTTGGTTCAATACTTTTTTTGACGGCATTTTTAACGATTTGGATATTTTGATTTAAACTCGTGCGCAGTTTAAGTAGGAGTGTGATGTAAGAATACGGACCATTAAAATATATATAAAACAAAAAAAATTTCTAAAGCATGATTTAGGTTTTATTAATAATTTTACTAATAATAATATTCTCTAGTCAAAAGGTCTTATAGGATCCTATAGCAATCTTATAGATTCTATAGGATTTCTATAGAATCTATAGGTTTTATAGGAAACCTACATGACCTATAGGACTGCAATAGGAATACTATTGTAATCTTATAGGTCCTATAGGATTGCTATAGGACTAATATAATTCCTATAGATATCTTATAGGTTCTATAGAAATCATATTGCAATCCCATAGGTCCTATAAGATTCATATATATATCCTATTGGTTTTATAAAATTTATATATGACTAACGGAATACCTTTTTGATTCCTAATGCACTCCTATAGGTTCTATAGGATTTATATATGATTATAAATGATGAATATATATGAAATCAACATTTACCAACACCTAATTTTTACGTATAAATGTAACAACAGCTTGATTCCAAAAAACTTTAATGATAAATTTACAATAAATGTAAACAAAAAATATTCTCTTAGAATAAACTAATGGAATACTTATAAATTACCAAGAATTAATAGTAAGTATTCTGAATATGGAATATCATACCGTGGACCAAAACTATGGAACACTTTTCAAAAAACAAAAAATTTAAATACTGTAAAATCATTAAATTCCTTTAAGTTTATAATAAAAAATGAAAATTTTTAAATTCGATAAATAGTTTTCTTGATTTTTCGAAATGAAAAACGAGTTCTATTATTCTTAGTTTTTTTACTTGTTAATTGGCTCTTATTTTGATATTTAACAGAGTTACCAATATATTTTAATGAATATTGATAAAACTATATGATGTTATTTACTTTCTTGATTTAATGGAAATGTTTATGCAAGCTTTAACCTTTTTATTATATTGGAGACTATTTTTTTTAACTTGTAAAGCCCACCTAGGTACTCTATGAAAAGATTGTGGTGACTTTAGTTATTCGTATCTTCTTTGAGCCCCTGCCTGTTTATTATAAATTCACTTTTTTTTGTATGTAAACGTTTCTTTGTAATTATATTTCTTATTATATAAACAGCAAATATATATTAAACTAAAATATATATATATATATATATATATATATATATATATATATATATATATATATATGTATATATATATGTATATATATATATATATATATATATATATATATATATATATATATATATATATATATATGTGTGTGTATGTATCCTATAGCTGCTAGAGAATTCCTATAGGACCATTATGATACCTATAGAAATGCAGGTGCAATCCTATAGGTCCCATAGGATTCAAATAGGAAGAATAAAACTGCTAAAGTGTTAATAGTGTGGACCTATATTAATCATATTATTCCTGGAAGATTTATAGGACTTTTATAGAAATAAACCAATATCCTACAGAAAGCAATTGTCTTTAATGAGTCCTGTTAAATTTTATAGGCTTTTTAAATATAAAATACAACTTTTTCACTGTAAATTTATAGTCAACTAACATTACAACGTGAATTTGATCATCAAATTTGAAGCAAATTAAAACCTAATGGAATTTGATATATTGTATAAGGTTTTAGCTTACTTGAAATTATTTTGCATTTAATAACAATGTTTTTTATTAATTACGTTAATAGCCCGTATGTTTTTAGTAATGAGGTGGCACACAGTGAATCGACTCATACAATCTAGCTGGACCAAAGTCAATTCAAGGAATCAATTAGTAGATATTCCCATGATATTACTGAATACTCCCTCGAGAAAAATTAAAAATATTAATTAGTGCACGCGTTTTTAAGTGTTAAACCATTACCGCTTAAGTGTAACTTAAAGATTAACATATTTTTGTAAAAAAAATAACTGTAACTTTGCTGTGTAACAATAACGTAAAACTAATTTATTGTGAAAAATAATTTACTTTGCTGTGAATAGTTTTACATTAGAGGGTATGTACTTTTGGCATTATTGGCATTAATAATATTCTGTAGATCTAAAAAAAATGTTAAAATTGCAATTTCTTTTTTTTTTCTTTTTTTTTTGTAAATTTATTTGCCTTCAATAAAAGAAATTACAATTACAGAATAGCTTTATTACAAATATAATCGGCAGGACTCCCAGAAGATCAATCGATCTTATCTTGAAGCCCTTTACAATATCAAATATAATAATAATAACAATAAAATCAAATTAAGCAATAAAAATAAATCAACATAAACTATATATAACTGTGTATTCAAAATATAAATATACTGGATAAATTATATGAAATATGTGAAAAAAAGAACTAAAACCGAGAAAAAATATTTTCTGCTAAAAAGATAACTTCTTCTAATTTTCATTTGAAAGAAGTTAAAGTCCATTTCAATGACAAATCAAAATTTGGCAAAACTATTTTATTCCATAAATAAGGACCGCGATAAGAAATAATTAGTTGTTCAAATTTAGTTTGGCAGGAAGGTTCTTGTACATTTTTTCCATTGCGAAGGTTGTATTTTTTATGGGTTTTACATTATAATAATTTATAAATAAATCAGGAGATAAATGATTTTTACATTTAAACATGAAACATAAAATATTATAAACATTTAGTTCGTATACATTTAAGGCTTTCATTTCTCTCAGTAGTGGTTTTGAATTTGAAAAACGATTTGCAAAATTAATTAAGCGAGCTGCGTGTTTCTGCGTGTTTCTGGAATTATATATAATAATACTTATTATATATAATTCCAAAACTTTTAGCAACTTTCAAGGAGATATTATTGATTTGTTGTTTCCAGGATAAGTTTCGTCTACAAGAACTCCGAGAAGTTTTGTAACTTTTTCCCTTTTTAGTATTGTATTATCAATGAAGAGGTTGGGCAGTGTATTTAGTAAACATTTTTTTCTGGATGTTGGGTAAAAAAGTGTCCATTTTGTTTTATCAATATTGAGGGACAATTTGTTTTTCTTAAACTAATATGAGATTTTATTTAATTCTTGTGTCATATTATCAAAAAGTGTATTTATGTTTTCATGAGACTGGAATAGGTTTGTGTTATCAGCAAAAATTATAGTGGTTAAGTTAGAGGCTTTGTTGAGGTCATTTATATATATTAAAAATAGTAGGGGCCCAACTATGGATCCCTGTAGGACACCACATGTTACATTCATTAATAAAGGCAAATAAGAGTCTTGGATATTAACAAACTGCTTACGATTACTAAGATAGCTTTTGAATCAGCTTAGGGATTTATCTTTAATTCCATAGAGTTCTAACTTTTTTAATAGAATGTCGTGATCAACAGTATCAAAAGCTTTAGATTTTTTCGTTTTTTAATTTTCAAAACTTGAAACTAATTTTATCTAAATACACAGCAAAATCCACGATTCTTGTTTTAAGCAAAAAAAGTCTTAAAACAAGAAAAAAATTACTTGTCCGCCACGTAAGAATATTTTTTCTTGTTTTGAGAATTTTTTGGCTTAAAATAAGAATTTTTTTTCTTGTTTTAAGAATATTTTTTCTTAAATATATTTTATTTCTTGTTTCAAGAATTTTTATTCTTGTTTTAAGAATTTTAATTCTTAAAATAAGAATTTTTTTTCTTAAATATATTTTATTTTTTGTTTCAAGAATTTTTATTCTTGTTTTAAGAATTTTATTTCTTAAAACAAGAATTTTTTTTCTTGTTTTAAGAATTTTTTTTTTCTTAAATATATTTTATTTCTTGTTTCAAGAATTTTTATTCTTGTTTTAAGAATTTTAATTCTTAAAATAAGATTTTTTTTTCTTGTTTTAAGAATATTTTTTCTTAAATATATTTTATTTCTTGTTTCAAGAATTTTTATTCTTGTTTTAAAAATTTTAATTCTTGAAATAAGAATTTTTTTTCTTGTTTTAACAATTTTTTTTCTTAAATATATTTTATTTCTTGTTTCAAGAATTTTTATTCTTGTTTTAAGAATTTTAATTCTTAAAATAAGAATTTTTTTTCTTAAATATATTTTATTTTTTGTTTCAAGAATTTTTATTCTTGTTTTAAGAATTTTATTTCTTAAAATAAGAATTTTTTTTCTTGTTTTAAGAATTTTTTTTTTCTTAAATATATTTTATTTCTTGTTTCAAGAATTTTTATTCTTGTTTTAAGAATTTTAATTTTTAAAATAAGAATTTTTTTTTCTTAAATATATTTTATTTTTTGTTTCAAGAATTTTTATTCTTGTTTTAAGAATTTTAATTCTTAAAATAAGATTTTTTTTTTCTTGTTTTAAGAATTTTTTTTCTTAAATATATTTTATTTCTTGTTTCAAGAATTTTTATTCTTGCTTTAAGAATTTTTTTTTTTTTTAATTTTAATTTTTAAAATAAGAATTTTTTTTTTTTGTATCAAGAACTTATATTCTTAAAATAAGAATTTATATTCTTAAAATAAGAATTCTTTTTCTTGTTTCAAGAATTTATATTCTAATAAAGAGCTTTTTTTCTTGTTTCGATAATATTTTTGCACAAATTAAGACTTTTGTTTAAAAAAATATTTATACATTTAAACAACTCTCATTGTTAAAATAACACTTGTTGTTCTTTGAATGTCCAGTTATTGGCCGTACTTGCATAGGCAATACTCCTCCCATAGGCTACTCATCTGATTCAAGCAAGTTTTTGTCGAACTTTCGTCTTTAAATAAAATATAATGAAAGATTGTATATGCTGTCATGGCATGGGCGTCATATTCCATATCCATGACATAGTGTATTCCGATAAGACCTATCACGGCGTCAGAAAATGAAAAACTGCGTAAAATTATCTTTTCGCCACACATAACGATCGCCTCTTCGTCTGTTATGTACAGATAAGGAATTTTTATCTGAAAATAAATTTAACAAACTCAAATCTAAGTTCAATTTAATGTTTCCTAAAATTTAACAATAATATCTTTTTATATCTAAAAGTTAGGAATCTTTACTTATATATATATATATATATATATATATATATATATATATATATATATATATATATATATATATATATATATATATATATATATATATATATATATATATATATATATAGTATGTATGTATGTATGTATGTATGTATGTATGTATGTATGTATGTATGTATGTATGTATGTATGTATGTATGTATATATATATATATATAAATATATATATATATATATATATATATATATATATATATATATATATGTATGTATGTATGTATGTATGTATGTATGAATGTATGTATGTATGTATGTATGTATGTATGTATGTATGTATGTATGTATGTATGTATGTATGTATGTATGTATGTATGTATATATATATATATATATATATATATATATATATATATATACATATATATAAATAAATTTTAGATTATACTAACTTACAGCTTTATACAAAACAATATGTCCAGTTTTATTATTTTTTTTCTTAGAATTTTCAACGGGAAATAACTGCAGTAAGTACTTCATTAAGTGCTTAACTTTAGTATCTAAAAACACATTCATTATTTTAGTTGTTAAATGATTTCAATACATTATTGTACTAAACCCTAATCAATCAAAATTCTTAAAGTGCTTGAGGTTGGCGAATTTTTGCTGACCTTCTTTTTAACTTTTATGGTAAAACCTTTGTAAAAATGGTTTTATGTTTGCTAATTGTAATCTGATGCTGACCTAAAGCAGTTTAAGGTCGGTAATTTATTACCCACTTTAGTTTACCTAATTCAAAAGGTTGTGTATGCATGCACACTCACCTATATTTGCTTTGGGTGGCGGTGGTAGAGGAACTACTAACTTGTGTATTCCGTAAAATAAAAGCATGTCAATTTCTTCAGCTAAGCTGACTCTCGCTGAGTCAACTGTGACAGCAGACTTTAATAAACGAGCTACTTCGCCAACAATCTGAATTAAATAATATTAATTAAATAAAAAAAATAAAAGCATACAAACAATTTTAAAAAGCAGAGAAAACTTATAGAATAATCCATTAGAACATGGCAGTTTGAAAAAAATATCTATTCGCATAAAAAAGGATTTTACATTTTGAAAGAATATTGCATTTTTTCCCAATAAAAATATGAAATTACAAATGAAAAAAAAAACTTACGACAGTCACATTAGAGAAACATGGATATTTCTCAAAAACTGTTGTAATTCTAGCAATTCTGTCAACTGGACATTTGTTTACCCAAGTCCTTCTTTGAGTAAATGTAGCATCCAGGCATGATGCAACTATATTCATGTCAATATTTTTTTTTTACACCATTCTTGTTGAAGTACAGCATCAAGTTGTAAAACCATTTCATCAGTGTTTTTTTCTGTAACAGGTTTAAAATAAATAATAGAAACCTACTTTATAGTAATAATGTAACAGATTAAAAATAAACAATAAAATCTATTATATAATAATAATTTAATAATTGTAAATAATAAAAATACTATATTATAAACTGTAATAAATTTGCAGCCCTTAAAATTAGTAAAAATCAAGTCAGGAAAAAATTAAACAATATTGAAATTATCTTATTCCAGACATCTGCATTCATAGCAAGCATAGAAGTATCATTTTATGAATTTAATTCTTCGAAAATATATTATTTTTACACTATAATGTAAAAATAATATATTTTCTAAGAATTGAAAAAAGAAAAAAAATCACCCCAGGATAAAAAACATCTGTTTATTTATCCTGGGGTTATTTATAAGAGTTAAATCCATATCCGAATGTGATCTGAGTTAAAATTAACAGTGTGTATAAAAAAGTAAACTTCAATGTATGCTAAACAAATATAACATAAACATATGGGAAATAACTTACCTGACAACAATGAAAATATGGATGGTTTGTCAATAGGAGTTTCATTACATGGCTCTACAATCAATAAAAATCATAGGTTTTATAAAAATAAGGTAAGGTATTATTAATAGGATAAAAAGAACTCTATATGTTAGCTATGTAACATGAACTTACTTTTGACAGGTGGTGATGAACTTAATTCACTCACACTCTGACCTGAATTATAAAAGTAAATATTTTTAAAACTTAGATTTTAAGTAGCGCATTTCTCAGAAAGGAATTATAAATTTGGGAATGTTTAAATAAAATGGAGCACCTAAGGGTCCTTAGCCAATGGCTATCATCTTATTGATGGCATTGGCTAAGGACCCTTAGATGGCATACCTAGTCCTGATCTGTATATTTTATGGTGTAAAACTAGAGGGTGTAACTTTGGAGAGCATCTAGTTATAAATATTTGCTTCCGAATTTCATAACTTAATTTCCATTAAGAAAATGATATAATGGAAAACCATGTGCAAAAACCACACATGTAAATAAATAATAAAAATAAAAACATACTTGATGAAAAATCAACATCAGTTTCACCTCCATTTTTCAGTGTTGTTTTTATCAAACTTTTAATCCGTTTATTTTGTATTGGTTTTTCATTATAAAACCTTTTCCTTAACTTGTTGAACAATGTAATCTAAAAAGCAAAAACAAAATATTAACCTTCACATTTAATGTTTCAGATATCTCTCAGTTGTCTTTGTTTTTGTAGCATAAATAATATGAAAATGTATGTGAACGTGATTTACATTTTGCAAGATCAAAACTGATTTCTTCCCTTCTTTAAATTGAATTAAAAGTATTATTAAATAGAATCAATTATTATGTTCTGTAACAAATTCACTAAAAAAAAAATAAAAAAAGATTACATGTTTTGATGTCTTGTCATTCAGGCAAGGGTATTTAATAACTAAAGACTTAGACATTTCTAAAAGGTCTTGTCTTGTTGGATACTGATTCATCAATGAGGCATGTGCATTCATTATTGTGATTGTTCCTCTTACCATCCGGTTATATAGCTTATATAGGTTATATAGCTCTGACCATCCGGTTATATAGCTCACTACTTATAAAGTTTTTTGCAGCAGCATTTGGAAAATCCAGATCATGATATATTGGATATGATGATCCAATGTATTGTGACTGCTCTAGCTGTAAAATTTTATTTGTAGTAGTATAAATCAAGCTGTTATTTTAATTGGACACTTAAATACTTCGATTAAACATTGACAAAGTTAAATATTAACTAAAAAATATTTCCAAACACCAAATGCTTAAAAAAAAAAAATTAAATTAAGAAGAGAAATAATATGAATTAAAAAATTAAAATTTTTTATAAATTTAAAGTATATTAAACCTTATTCTTGTCAAGTATAGCATTATTATTCATGTCAATATCATTGTTATTGTCATCATCAACATCTTTAATAAGTCTTTTTGATGTTACGCCATTAGTTCTAATAAAAGCATTTTTAAAGCATAGCAATATCACATATATTAATAACAGATATTTAAAAAATACATAGTTACTGTTTCTCAAGGGTAAAAACAATAACAGCGCATCCCTTAGGATACAATGTTAGGTGAATATCATTTACCTCATTTCTGCATCAACACTTTGAGAACAAGTCTGATTATTGTTCTGATATATGTCTTCTTTAGACAATACAACATCAACTAACTAAACAAAAATAAAAATATATAAATAAAAATATTCTTATAGAAATGTAAATTTCAAATTAATGTGTCAAAGCAAATTAATTCTAAAAAAAATCTTAAAAACTGTTACTGATGTATTAGATGTTATATTCTCATGAAAATCAGCGTCTGATATGTTTAACTAAAGTAAAAAAAAATATATATTTAAATCCTTCATGTTTGTTTTTTTTTTCATTAGTTGTTTATTCAACATTCAATCTATTAAAGCTTCTTAATACAAAACACAGATTGGGAAAATGTCATTCATGAATAATTTAATTTGCAAAATACACTGCATGTTGCTAATTAACACATGTATATGTACCTCATGCATAACCTTTTTTAACTCGGTTTGAATGAGCTTCCATAACTTTGCCCTTAAAAGTATTTGAGTTTTTAAAGGAAAAAGTTCACTTAAGGTTTCGTAAATAATCTCTGAAAAATCACGATCATCTACAATTCCTGCATCTAAAAAAAAATGAATGTTTATAAAAAATAATAAAATAATATCGATGATAAAAAAACAACATTTATTTGTTTATTTTAAAACAACAGAATGACCCAAAAGCCACTAATACTTAAGTATACATCAGAGAATTTTCTACTGCAATATTCCAATTGTATTAAGTGTTAGAATAAGATCAAACAAAATTCTATCAAGTAGAACATAGTATGAGATGTTTTTTAAAAATCGAGATAAATGGTGCAGATTTTGCGGTAAATTATTCCACGAATTAACATTCAACAAAAGAAATACTTGGTGCTGTTAAAATAACAATGGAGCTTTTATAGTTTAAAGTTATGACCACAATTACCTAAGTAACAATTAAGAATAAAAATGATAGGTCAGTGTCCAGTTTATCATTAAGAACAATTTAACATAAAACTAAATCCTTAAACCTTCAACGATATTCTGTGTATATTGAGCTTTAGTATGGTTATGTATTCCCTGGTTTTCTAAATTTTAAAAACTTATTCCTTTGGGTGTTATTATTGCAGGGTTTGAAACCTGCACTAGTGCAGGTTTCAAACCCTGCAATAACAATGAGCATGTTCACAACAATGAGCATGTTCTAGTTTTTTTAACGGAAAAAAATGTTTACTTACATTTATCAATTCGCTTACCTCTAAAATGACTAATGTATCCTGGAAATTCATCACGAACTTTATTAAAGATAGTTTTTATCCTATTAACAATTAATTATCATCCTATTAACAATTGTTTTTTTTCTTTAAACGTTTAATCACGTGTTGCTTAATATCATATACACTGAAACATCGTAAAATAAAAATGGAATATATCAACTTCCGTGTTGATCAATGATGTAAATAAATAATTTATTTATGTAAATAAATAATTTATGTAAATAAATAATTTATTTATTAAATAAGTTATTTATTTACGTCATTGGTGTTGATATATTCCATTTTTATTTTACGATGTTTTAGTGTATATGATTAAGCAACACGTGATTAAACGTTTAAAAAAAAAACAATTAAAAAAAATAAAAATAAAAATACCGCTTCTTTCATAAATACATGCTCGTTAATATTAATATAAATTAATAATAATACAAGATTCGGTGTTTCCTAGTAATTAAAGAAATTTAATGTATTTAAATCTATAAATAAATCTAAATGTTTAACTTAGACATTTTTATAAAATTTACCTCCACCACGTCATTGTCTAATATTTCTTTCCTCATATTCAATATCTACTACATTATAATATTCTGGTGTATCTCTATCTTCATAATTATCAAATTGATTTTGTACTTGAGATTCAATATTTTTGTTGGAATAATTTTTTGAAGAGTGCTTTTCTTGAAACACATTGTATTTTTCATAATCATCTTTATGATGTCGAATTGTATGTTTGTACAAAGAGTTGTACTTGACAAAAGATTTTGAACATCCATTAACAATACATTCACATTTAAAATCCAAACTTAAGCTATGAACTTGATAAACATGACTAAGTACTGTTTTCAAATTGAGAGAGACAAATACATCGCAGCAATTACACTTAAACATAACATAAAAGTTGCTCAATCAACCATTTTTTACCAAGTGCCAGAATTTTCCTTTTTAAAAAAAAAAAAATTATCTGTTCATCTATTTTCTTTGCAAGAAGTACTTCTATAGTATATAGCAAGAAGTACTGTAAAAGTTAATTATATAAATTAACTTTTATATACTTTTTATTCTCAATAATAAATTTATAAGCTACACAATTAACAAAAAGATAATAGACAAAAAAGATAATCTCAGCAAAATCTACATCATCTATTAATGGGTTTCAGTTAAAAAAAATGTGTATTTTTTTTGACTGAAACCCATTAATAGATGATGAAACCCATTAATAGATAAAAAATTCACTTCCTCCACCTTAGTTCGGGAGTATGAGATAATGCCTAACGACGGTCTTGATGTAGACTCTACAATATTGCTTCGGCACGCTGTTGAAGAAATAATGCTAAAATTTAAACCTTAATTTTATTTTGAAGAGGGAATACATTCCTTCACCACTGTATTCATCACCGATACCGGTTAGTCCTGGCATCAAGACAAAGTTTGTCTTTTTCTAGCCCTAGTTGTATGAAAACTTGTTTTTTATTCTACCATTGTAAATTTTTTTTTTTTGGAAAACACATTCATGTGTTTTCCACAAAAAAAAAAACACATTCATGTGTTTTCCAAAAAAAAAAAAATTTACAATGGTAGAATAAAAAACAAGTTTTCATACAACTAGGGCTAGAAAAAGACAAACTTTGTTTTGATGCCAGGACTAACCGGTATCGGTGATGAATACAGTGGTGAAGGAATGTATTCCCTCTTCAAAATAAAATTAAGGTTTAAATTTTAGCATTATTTCTTCAACAGCGTGCCGAAGCAATATTGTAGAGTCTACATCAAGACCGTCGTTAGGCATTATCTCATACTCCCGAACTAAGGTGGAGGAAGTGAATTTTTTACGAAAAATTTACCTCATATAGGAGGTCAATTTCTTAAATACTTCCCTTTCCTCCCCCTTCTCTTTTGGAGAGTTTGACAGTTATGCAAAATTAAAGGTTTTTAACATTTTAAGGCCCTAATTTCTGGCTAAATGAGGGGGTTGTGGTAGTTACGGCACTGGCCTGAAAACATTCCTTGATCCGTCGCTAAGCAGTATATTTATATTTGTTTTATTCTTTTATTATAAAGAAATACATAATTTTTTAGCACTTCAAGCCAAATCGCGCTTTTGCATGTTTTCACTTATGCTTGCACGTTGCACTTGCACGTATGTTAATTTGCAACTACTTTGCCCTTACAAAAGATTCACATTTATGCTGTTTAGATTTATAGTAGATTCGCAGGTATGAAAATCGCACTTATTAATTGCGAATTCTATAGAATTCTTGCAGTATACAAATCCTTCTAGTTGGTATTATAGTTTTAATGGCAATCAAACGAATTAGACTGTATGTTTACATAAAATCATGATTACAGGGTCTATCCAAGGGTGGGGGAGGAGTTTGGTACAGGAGGGGAAATTTAGGGACCCAATTCCAAATTTAATGACTTTTTTTTTTATATACCTATAAAAAGGAAGGGCTTTTAATATATATATATATATATATATATATATATATATATATATATATATATATATATATATATATATATATATATATATATATATATATATATATATATATATATATATATATATATATATATATATATATATATATATTATATACAATAACAAAGTATTACAATATTATTAAGTTAGGAACAATGTTTTTTATTAATAAAAAACACTGTTCCTAACTTAATAATATTGTACTGCATATTTCAATTAAAATATCTTAAAATAAGATTCAGATTCTTAAAATAAGAATCAAGTTCTTAAAATAAGAATCAAGTTCTTAAAATAAGAATCAAGTTCTTAAAATAAGAATCAAGTTCTTAAAATAAGAATCGAGTTCTTAAAATAAGAATTAAGTTCTTAAAACAAAAATCAGATTCTTAAAACAAGAATCAAGTTCTTAAAATAAGAATAAAAGTTCTTAAAATAAGAACAAAAATTCTTAACCTAGAATCTTGAATTTTGCTGTGTATATCCAGCTGATTTTTTTTTATATATTATAACCACAACAATAAAGCGTCTTTTATTTAATTTTTTTCAGATCGAGTATATTCTGTTACAAAATTGGAGTTATTTGAAGAATGGCAAAAACATACAAAGGAAGAGCGAAACTCTTTTTTGTGTGACTATTTTGAAAGACTATACTACAGAAGATGTTACCAGTGATTCGAAAAAAAATAGAGTTAAAATTACAAGCATATCGCTCAATTTGCGCTAAAGTGGAATGCAGCCAATAGAAATATGAGTCATTTTTTAAATAGAAATAAAAGTTAGTTAGAGGGCAATAATTTAGAATTTAAAATAAATTTTCATCGGTCCTACGCTTCTCCAACATGTGAAGGAAGTCGGCCTCAAGGTTGGCTAAAGAAAAACTTAGAAGACTCATTTTTGAAAACCAAAAGACGTAGAGTTGAAGACTTATTGCAATCGCGGAGTGCCAATGAATTAACAACAGCTGCTGAAATAGCAAATTGTTTGTCGGGTCAAAGAAACGAGCTACTTCTATTAGAAAAAGTACAGAAACCTTTGAGCGAAGAAAACCTACTGATGTTATTTGTGGTAGCAGGCAGTTAAGTAGCGATAAGGTACTTGCTTATAATGTAGATTCCAAGTGTACTAGTCACTCTTATAAACAAACAAGAAAGTGGTCAATGAAAACAGGGCATAAAGTGTTTCGGTCTTACTTTAATTTATGGTTGTGTTACCCTCCAGAAGAATTTATTTCTATCTCCGAAACACGAGCTGAAACTAAACTTCAAGCCATATTGAATTAAACAACTAAATGTTTAATTGAAACACTAATTCAATCTCCCAAAAATGCATTCTCTAATTTGTTGCTTACATTAATAAGAAAATGGGGATGTGATGGAAGTTCTGGCCACAGTACCTATAAACAAAGATTTGCAAACTCCGATGCTAATGATGAATTTCTGTTTGTGTTTGCGTTTGTCCCGTTAAAATTGAGTGATGACTCTAATAATATTATTTGGCAAAATCCTCGGCCATCGTTAACACTTTATTACCGACTAATTAAATTCATATTTTCAAAAGAAATGCTAGAATTTACTGTAAAAGAAACTAACAAAGTTTTAAAAGAAATATCTGAACTTCTTCCAACACTGTGCAATGTTGGTAAATTTAAATTTATTGTGAAACACAATCTGTTACATACAATGACAGACGGAAAAATATGCAATGCCTAAACCGACACGCGCTCTACACAATATTATATTTGTGGTGTTACTCCAAAAATGATGAATGGTGAATTAAAAGTTATGGTTGATTAAAAAAAATTACAATTTTGGTCTGTCTACCTTGCATGCTTGGATGCGTACTTTTGAATGCTTGCTACACATTAGCTTCCGTTTAGACATTAAAAAGTGGCAAGTTAGAGGCAATGAGAATAAATCGTATTAGAGAACGTTCGAAAGAGATTAGGCAAAAGTTTAGAAAACAAATGGGACTTAATGTGGATTGACCGAAACCTCATTACGGCAATACAAATGATAGCTAAAAAAATTGGAAGGTTTTTTTTAAATCCAGAAAAGAGCGGAGAGATTACAGGATTAAACGTCGAATTAATTAAAAAATTTTAGTGTTTTATTAAGAACGCTATCTTCTGGCCATGACATTGATTGTGTCATTTTTTATATATTATAACCACAACAATAAAGGACTTTATATTTACATTTATATTCGTGGTATTACTTGCCTGTTACAGTGCATAACATTTTAATGCATAGCACGGAAGTTATAAAGTCGTGTATTCTTCCGATTGGTGAGCTCTCAAAAGAATCTCAAGAAGCACGAAATAAAGATTGTAGGAGATTTCGAGAAAAAATCTTACAAGGAAAAAGTCACGTATTTCTACAAATATGGATTTGCTGCACGGTCGTTTAGATGTGGAAAGTCATTACACGCAAGCGCAGTGTCAAACAGGGTTGCTTGAGTATAATAACTTTCCACATCTAAACGACCGTGCAGCAAATTCATATTTGTAGAAATAAGTGATATTTTCCTTGTAAGATTTTCTCGAAATATCTGGGTTTTTTTTCAAGCCAGATTTCTCAAAACTGGTTTATATTTTTAGGTTTTGTTCGAAATTTTTTTCCTGGTTTATTTTAAAAAATCTGGTTTAAATCTGGTTTTTTTTTTTAAAGTGTTAGATGTTTTTTTTTTCTTTTTGGATTATTTTATTAAATCTGGTTTAAATCTGGTTTATTTTTTGTTAAATCAATTTAATCAAGCTGTTTTGTTTCATAAAAAAAGTGAAATAGAGCGAAATAAACAAAAATGAATGAAAATTCGATTGAAAATATGAATCAAAAGAAAAAAGTAACGAAAATGAGTAAAAAAAAAATTAAATTTCTTTAATAAGCCGTAATTTTTGTAGTTACGGCTTATTAAAGAAATTCAAAGAATGAATAAACTCTCACTCACAATTTATTTGCATGGTTTATTTCTTTCTTTCTAAAAATTTTTTCTTTCGATAAATTATTGCATCCGCAGAAAATATTTATTTGCATGGTTTATTTCTTTCTTTCTAAAAATTTTTTCTTTCGATAAATTATTGCATCTGCAGAAAATATTAGAAAAATCTGGCATTTAAAAAGACGATTTAAAGTGAAATACTTTACTTTAGGTAAAACGAGTTTTTAATGTTTGTACGGATATTGAAAATTTAGTAACTGTTACTATTCAAATAACAATTAATTAATTTTGCTACATTTATCTAACTGTTGAAAACGTGATTTGTTTACATTTTCAAAACTCTTTTTTTTAAATTCTGAGCGTGACAGTTTATCAATTTTTATTTCAAATAGTCTTATCTTGATTTTAAATTGTTTTCAGATCTGACCCAGTCAAGTAGTACATATGGGTACCATATGGGAGTCGTCCGGGTATCTGGTATGGGATACGTGAGGGCTTTTTTTATGGGCTCAGTCTGGGACCCATATGGGAAAGCAATGAAAACGATGTTACATTTTTCGATATCGAGGCAGAATTGAAAAAAGTTATTTTCAAAATAAAAATGGCTATTCGGTTCAGAACGCTGATCTCAAAATATAACTGGATAGCAAATTCTAATGTTTTTTCCGAAAAAAGTTGAAGCCAAAATTGGCCTCCCAAGATGGCGGTGATTTTAGTTCTTAGCGGTGAAACCATTATACATTCTATTTTACTTTAAATACTTAAAATACTTAAAATACTTAAAATACAAAAGAAAATAATGAAATAAGACTAATACATTTGTAATAAAAACAAAACAAAAAAACAAATGAATGAATTTTATAATTATTAGAGAAAAAAAATTTTTTTTTTCAATAATTGAATTTATTATTAAATGGCATTAGTGAAATTTACAATTTTAGTTTTATGTATAATTTATTTAGCCTTTTAGTTCTAACAAAGAATGCTATAACTAAGAATAAGAACCCAATGCTGTATGCTAGAAGGTTATTAATTTCTTCTGTTTACCATTCATAACAGCATGGTAAATAGCAGCAATCATGTCTATTTACAATTTTATACTTTATATTTTTTATGCAAGATACCAATTTGTACAAATACTGAATGAACTATTAACTGAGTGCTGTGAGTACACAAAAACTCCGGGGCTTCGTCTAGACTTTTATTATACTTAAATGCTATTATTGTATAAATTATTTGATTAAAATATTCTAAAGTGTCACTTATATTGGTTAAAAAAAAAAAAAAAAAAAAATGAATTCAAGTTTTATAAGAATTTATTATAGTTATATAACTTTTAAAACAAATAAAAAGTAAATAATCATTTTTTATATCTTAAAGGAAAATCACTCAATACAATCGGTGATGAAAAAGTACGTAAAAATACATTTGTTTGAAAAAAATATTTATTAAATTTTTAATATACAAATATTCAAAACGCCTTTTTGAAATATCTCTTTAACTAAAGTTATATATACTGTTTACCTGCTGTTAAAAATGATGGATAAATGTTATAGTTAGCTCACATTTTTATATTATTAAACTGTATGTATGCCGATGAGTTTGTTTGCATAAAAGATTGATTACATGACATACTAAATTCAAGAAACCTATTTGCCAATGGATACAAGTCAGCATTGTGTGCATGTAACAAGACTCGTTGTTTTCCATTTCATTTTATCATTAGTCTTAAAGAGATTAATTGTTACGCAAATGATCTTGTATAGTCTAAAAACTGATTTTATTAGATATTTGGTAGCAGTTAAATCTGTTTAAAATATATATGGATTGATAAGTTCCTGGAATGGGATGTATGCATCATCGCTATTAAGATAAAATTTATATGTACGGCAAGTTCAGACCTGTATACGATTACTATATAAATTTTAAGTCAGTTTATTATCTAGTTTTGTGTTTATAACAAGTGAAGTAAAATAATCTCGATTTTTTTGCTGATATGGAAAAAACTGAAATTCGGGCAGTGATAAAATATCAATATTTGAAAGGCTTAAAACCTCAAGAAATAATAAATGACTTCAATAAAACTTTGGGTTCCTCTGCTCCATTGAAAACAATTGTTTACAATTGGTATAATGAATTCAACCGTGGTCGTTCAAGCAAAAGTGACGCAGAACGTTCAGGAAGGCCAGAAGAGGTCACAACTGAAGAAATGATCGAAAAAATTCATGATAATGTGATAGAAAATCGTAAAATCAAAGTTTGTGAAATTGCTAACCGTGTAAACATTTTTTATGAACGTGTTTTTAATATCTTACACAAACACTTGGAAATGAAAAAGCTTGCTGCCAGATGGATGCCGCGCGTGTTGACTGTTGACCAAAAACGCAACCGAGTGAGGACTTCTCAACAGTGTTTGGACATGTTTAATTGCAATCAATCGGAATTTTTGCGTCGTTTTATTACGATGGATGAAACGTGGATCCATTACTACACACCCGAGTCGAGACAACAATCAGCACAGTGGTTAAAACCTGAGGAAAGTCGACCAAAGCAACTGATAACACAGCAATCGGCTGGAAAGGTTATGGCAAGTGCCACCTTAATAAATAGTATACGGGATGAGATTCAGAAAAGCCGACCACATATGCGGAAGAAAAAAATTTTGTACCATCATGACAATGCGCCATCTCACACGTCATTAAAAGCAATGGCAAAACTTGATGAGTTAGGATGGGAAATACTTCCCCAGCCAGCTTAATCGCCAGATTTAGCACACAGTGACTACTTTTTCTTTCCTAATTTGAAAAGATGACTCCAGGGAAAGAGGCTCGCAACAAATGAAGAAGTCCGAAAAGAAACGAATGGATATTTTGAGGGACTTGAGAAAAATCATTTTAAGAAGGGAATTAAAATGTTGAAAGATCGATGGAATAAATGAAAAAGCAGAATCAGATGTAAATATAATTATAATATTTTTAGAAGTGATAGAAAGACTAATGGAGGAGGTGTTTGTATTTATGTAAAACAATGTATTATTTAGTTTGAAACAAATAATTTACAGTTAAACGATAATTTTATAGAACAAATATAGACTTGTATATGTTTTAAAAATAGCAAAATGCTAATCGGATGCATTTATAGACCACCAGATATATCTCATGAGTATAATAACTTTGTTTTGCTATCTATTAATGCTGCTAAAACGAGTATTTATCAAAAAGAAAACAGCGATCTTATTATTACAGGTGACTTCAACTATAACACAATAGATTGGTCTGATAATAATTGTCTTTTTTCAGCAACTGATAATGAATCTCAAACTAATAAATTTATTTAATGTGTTGAAGATTGTTTTCTGTTTCAATGTGTATGTGAGCCAACATTCCAAATAGCAAACTACAAATCAACTAATATTCTAGACCTTATTATTACAAACGATAAAAACAAAATTGTTTCTATAACTCACTCAGATCCTTTAGGGAATGTCAAACAGGGTCATCATTTATTAAAGTTTTGTTATCTAATGAATGATTATAAGTCTTCTACCGAACATAAGAAATCCATTAGATTATATCAAAAAGGAAATTATGAACTATTTTCTCGCCATTTCAATAATGTGGATTGGGAAAATGAATTTAAAAGTAAATCTATAAATATAATGTCTGATTCTTTTTTGTATCATTACAATTATGCAACTAATCTGTTTATCCCATAAATTGATTATCAAAATAGAAGGAACAGAAACAAATGGATTACTCCTGAATTAAAACATAAAATAAGAACAAAAAGCAATATATGGCTTGCTAATAAACGTAATGGCTGGAATGAGGAATCAACAAAAATTCAGTATAATAAGCTAAAAATTAAAATAAAGAATGATATTAAGAACAATATAAAACAATTAGAAAGTACTTTAGCTAGTAAGTTTAAACAAATCCTAAATTGCTTTATAAATATATCAATGAGAAGAAATCAGTGAAAACTCAAATTCGATCACTGGAAATTGATAATGGGGAAATCATAAATGATCAATTCGCTATAGTTACTGAAATAAATAAATATTTTCATTCTGTGTATGTAATTCTAATTGTACAAGTATTGTTGAGTTTCATAATATACCTTCAAGTTTATTATTAAACACAGTTTTAATAACACAAAATGATGTTCAAACTAGACTTCAAGCACTTGATAAGTCAAAATCAGTCGGTTTTGATTTTATTCATCCATATGTTTTAAAAGAATGCAGCTCGTCAATACCATACCCATTATATTTAATTTTCAAAAAATCAATGGAAACAGGTACCCTACCAGATATGTGGAAGAAGGCAAATGTAATGCCACTTTTTAAAAAAGGAAGCAAATTAAAAGCATCTAACTACAGACCAGTCTCGTTAACTTCAATACCATGTAAAGTGTTAGAAAGAATAATAGCTGATTGTATCATGCAACATCTCATAAAAAATAACTTACTTTCAAAAAAGTAACATGGTTTTATGAAAAGCAAGAGCTGTACAACAAACCTATTAGAATACCTAGATATTTTAACAGATGCGTTCCACAATGGAACACCGGTAGATGTATTGTACACAGACTTTAAAAAAGCTTTTGATAGTGTTTCACATAAAAAGTTATAATCCAAGTTATTGACTTTTGGTATTTCTGGTAAACTTTTTACATGGATAGTCTGTTTCTTAGCTAATAGAAAACAAAGAGTGGTTTTAGGTAAAAGTGTGACAGATTGGGTTGATGTACTTAGTGGTGTACCACAAGGGTCTGTTCTAGGTCCTCTCCTTTTTCTGGTATTTATAAATAATTTACCAGAAAATTTTATTAATGAATGTCGTTTATATGCTGATGATAATAAGATAATTGCGATAATTTCTTCTCAAAACGATTCACAATTGTTTCAAAATGATATAAATAAACTTGACGAACGGTCAACAAAATGAAAGTTAGGATTAAATTTTAAAAAATGTAAAATTATACACTTTGGTTCAAATAATAACGAATATTCATATTTTATGAAAAATAAAAATACATTAATGGAAATTAAAAAGTCAAAACTAGAAAAAAACATTAGTGTCTATATATCAAGTGATTTAAAATGGGCCAAAAAAGTAAAATATGCAGCTAGTAAATCAAATAGTATGCTCTCACTACTAAATAATACATTCAAGTACAAAGATAAAGATCTAATAAAAACACTGTATTGTACATATGTTAGACCAAATTTAGAGTTTTCAATTCAAGCATGGAGTCCGTATTATACAAAAGATATTAATGAACTAGAAAAAGTCCAACAAAGAGCTACCAAAATGATACTGAAGCTAAGACATCTTGAGTACGAAAAAACATTGGAAATTTTGGGTTTGACTACTTTGAACTTTTCTACTAAAATTCATTCTTGTTTTACTCGTCATTCAATTAAGTCTCATCCTTTTTCTGTGACACTTCCTAAATGCATGAATAACTTTAATTTGTCTAGTTTTTTTCTTTGAACATCAGTTCTTTGGAATTTGCTTCCTTTATCTTATTTTTCAGATTCATATAATCTGGAACCTTTTAAGCTGTCTGTTAATTGTTATCTTGCTCTATAATCTTCTTCTTTTCTCTTCCAGTAACTTCCAACTCTAATAGTGGTTGCTTACGGCCTTGTTGGAAGTAAAGATATATATATATATATATAAAAATTATTTAACCTAAGCAACTTTATAAATGAAAAATAACATTAATGTAATGAACATTATTATAGCGTTGTAATTCTGGTGTAAACAATGAAATCCAACAAGTAATATGATGAAAAAACTGCATCAACAAAGCTGAAAATATTTAACAGATAATTTATTTTGAGTCACAAACATTTCATATCTGCAACATATACATCCATTAAATAATTTTTCTTTTTTCTTTTTGAGGATCTTAGATTTTAGACCTCATTTAAAGATAACTTTAGCTTTTGTTGTTTTCAATGGGATTAAGGTTGGGTGAATTAAATTTACCTCAATCTCATTCTCCCAAAACCAACAGCATAGAAGCTTTGCCCTGTGACAGAGTCATATGTTTTCAAAAAATTCATGATCATGATTATTTTGAGCTTTTCTTAAAGTATTCAAAGATAAACATGGCTTATCGCAATTTAAAGGAGCATAAACCATTAACCACCACTTAAATAGGCTGTAATACACCCCGTATCATAATTTTGGACCAATATCAACATCTTTCAATTGTTGCAACACTTGGTGCAATATCAGTGGAGAATACCTTAGAAGCACTAGCAAACTGATACACTTTTGCTTAACAAAAAATGGATTGGCACAGAAAACTTGGCCACCAAAGGTGACTATTCAAACTTAACCTTTCTATGTAATGCAGATAATGATATGAAAAAGACAAGAAAATCAAAGATAGTGTCCTAAAAAAAAAATTCTTTAGATGATATATAAAGAACCCAATTAAGATCCATGTAGTGCATACATATGGGTGCTTTTTGTATGTAGTTTGCTTGTGAAGCAATAGTTTAAATTTAAAAAATTATTTCTAGATTTAACAATAACATTTTATTTAATAAAAAAATCCATAAAATTCATGTCATATATTTTAAAAATCTTTTTTTAGTTGATATAAAAAAAATAAGAAAATATTTTTGAGAACCATCAATCTCTAAAAAATGAGATTGACTCAAGCTATATGCTATATGAGATGTCTAAATGCTATATGAGAGGTCTATATGCTATATGAGAGGTCTATATGTTATATGAGAGGTATGCATTAAAATATATAGCTTTTTGTACAGAGAACTTAGGGAATTAAACAGATTAAAAAAATATACTAAAGCTTATGATTTTTTGAAAATAGAGATTGTATGCTGCATAGTCCAGGAAAATTAGTTTGAAATAAATAAAATTGATAAACTTTTATGAAAAGCAAAAATCAAATTTTCAATAGACTTTAGCCCAAGCAACTTTTAATTTAAAATAATTTAACTCTTTATGGATTTGCAGAAAAATATAGTTTTTTTTAATGCAGAATGCAGTGCAAGGTTTCCAATCAAATAACACCCAGGCAACTTTGCACCTCTTTATTTTTGATTATCAAAAAGACGAAAAACAGATATTTACAAAGTTTTAACAATTTATGCTACCATAAGCAAAATTTTAGTATTACTGCAAAAAAAATTTCAGCACCGCATGATAACAGTTACTGCGATGGAATTGGGGTAACCCTAAAATATATTATAAAAGATAATCCTTAGTCACTTGACAAACACATTGATACACCACTTAAAATGTACAGCTAGTGTTAAACACATCAAAAGAATATAGTTGAAATATTTTGGTTGACAAAATTTAAATAAAAATGCACAAAATTCAATATGGAAGAGAAATGTGATGCATTTATAATATATGGAAGAAAAGACCATCACAGTTTCATACCAATTTTACTTACCTTGATCCTCATTTGATGATGTTTGGACTAATATGTTTCTACCTGCAGAGTTTATACCCTTAGATGTTTGTTACAAGGGAAGACACATTTATTATATTTCAGAAAAGTTTCATCACCCACTCTGAGCTATACTTTATTTTTACTTGTTATCAACAAACAAACTCTATATCAAAATTAAAAAAATATATATATACAGTATAAACCAGATTTAAAATTTAAAATACACAAACTCAGGGAGTTATTTTTTTTTTTCTTTTAAACATCACACCCTTCCAATAAGGCTGCAACCAACCACTAATTAGAGTTGGAAGT